TGGATAACTATTCTACCAAATACAAACCTTTTCAATTTGTTATGTGCCTTTTAATGTCTGACACAGTGTGGTCAATTATTCACTCTTATTCATCAACATGGTTAATTCAATTCATTTTTCTAGAGCCCTAATTCACAACTGCAGTCGTCTCAGAGGAGTTTGCATAGATACAACAGATTAGAGAATTAACAGCTAAAATGTTTGTATTCACTGTATTAGTATGTATGGCCCCATGTAAATGTGTATGTTTTTAAATAATATTTGTATTGCATGTTTTCTCTTATCTAAACGTACGTAGCTTAATGCATGTAGCTTTTTAAAAGTTAGGTATTGTGGCTTTAATATTGACATTTTTTTGGATGGCCTTTTTGCAAAATACAAATCATGTATGGCAAACAATATATAGTAGGTATTAAAATGTAGTTTTAAGAATTTGGCAAGACAACTGACATTAATGTATAGTATATTACTCCGCCTAAGGACAGCCCAAGTTATGGCCACAATCTTTCCAACAATATTCAATCATCTCTTTTAAAACATTGATAAAACATCACGATACATTTACAGATAGAAAACTTGAGATGGCTTCCCTCGTCAGAAAATACCATCTAAAATATTCTTCTATCAAATGTTTTCCAAAAAGTCTTGCAAACTTATGTAGGACACTGACCTGCATTTCATTTTGAAGAGCAAGAAAAAAATAAAAAATATATACTTTTAAAAACTCAGTTCTTGTGGGAAAACAATAACAGACAGTATGTTTATTTGCGATGAAGCGGCGGCTGAGCACAAAGAAAGAGGAGCATCCACACCATGGGATTTTAGCTTGACTCTTGAGAAGGGTACAACCAATATTCCCCAACCCGTGCCAGGACTGCGATTCCGTATACTTTTTGTTTTCCTTCATGAAGAATGATCAGGCATAGACAAGTGTTTCATCAGTCACTTTCAGGGTAAAGAGAGACTTTCAAAATAATCCCATAAGCAGCGAATGTTTTTTATTTCACTCTTGAACTCACTTGTTATTTTTGTTTCCGAGATGACAATTGCACACAGGTACCACGCACAAAAGCTTTCGTCTCCCTCTCTCTCCTGTATCGCATGTCCGCACATCTGATCTGGCTGTTAATATTCAGCCTCCGCGACAGGTCATATTTTGTCAAATGAAATGCTGAATTGCCTCATACTCCGGAAGCTTGAAGTGATACATGTAAGTAGAATTAAATTACTCTATAGCATATTACAGCCTCGGCGGGATTGTGGCTGTTCCTCCATTTTTAATAAGTGCTTATTTCCCCGGGGGCCTTGTTGGGCACCATGGGTCAACAGTGTCCAAGAGGGCAAAGCTTGTTCACCACATTCTGGAGCCCTTTAATTGCTCGAGGTTATGTGTGCTATTATCTTCCTTTTCTCTTTCATTATGGAGGTGCAGAGGTTCCGAGTGACCCGTCCTCTCAATTTTGAAAGCCCTCTCTGCGTTTAGCACACTTCAATTAAGCCGGCAGAGGAGACGCTTTCCGCTGATGACTTCCATTCGATTAATTATTCCGGGGTTGTGTTTTTAAGCCCGTGCAATTTTGTGAAAAGGAATTCGCAAGTGACGCGGGTCCGCTCTTATTTATTCGGTTGTGATAATGTTACAACGGTTACAGCAATATTTTTGTGTTCCCAGGAGTGCGCGCTCTTGACTCAAACATAATAACCCACGGCGCTGTCTGTCTCCACCGGGGCGCGCAGCTGATGCCATAACCCCGGCCCCTTCCCTGCAGGCTTCCTCCCAGCACCACACGCTGTGTAAAATAAAAGGATGAAAAATATAGGAAAAAAAGGCCTGCGTTGTCACATTAGTATGGACGTGTATGCAGAGACACATGTGCCTAGAGTGTGGTGTCCAAAAGGTCAGGTTCTGGGGAGAGCAGAAAGGCCACCTGAACTTCTCATTCCCAAGGTACAGTGAACAGACTTCTGGTCGCTGGCCCATTTCTGTACACCTGCAAACCCAATTTTTCCCAAAAGTTGAGATACTGGTAAACATTTTGTTGTAAAAACCCAAAGAGAAACTAGTCATTAGTTGTGGTCCGACTTTATGCACCTGATTTCCGTGCAAAGAAGCAGCACATTGGCCCAAATATGAGGCTCAAAGCTATAGACAATCTTAGAAATGCATGTTTAAAATACATTACAAAGGATTAGCATTATATTTTTAAATTGTATTAAATTGCCTATAACGCAAGATTAAAAATACCTGTGAATTTGTGATTCATGCCCTCTGCTGGTAAAACTTGGGAATGATGCATGTTGAAAAGGAGAAATAGCGCTGAAGGCTATTGCCACTCTTAATCTAACAGATATTTGACAAAAGAAGCACTTAAAAGTTAATGAAGTACTTTTGTTATTTTATGACAGCAAGTCTGTTTAAAGACCACTGTATTAAAAAACTTGTGAATCTATACATATATTTGACCAATTTCCCCAATCCAGTAAAAATATCTAACAAATCACTGTGGTTAGAGACCGATATACAAATAAGACAAAATACAATAATATAAAGCTTTAATTGATTTCACAATGCAGAAATCCACACGTTACATTTGGCTTCAATAAGATCACTCAGGGTGTGCACAAAGACAGGAAATTTGCAAAAAGTGAAAAACATACAGGGTTTCATGTGTGCAACAAAGGTTTCTTATGTGCAATTAACAATTGACTATGGCAGTGCAAATTTAAGAATACTTTTGTTTTGAATGCAAAAAAGCATATCATGTATAGAGAACTGGAAGAATCCTATCATGTATCTCCAATTCCCTGAACTACTTCCCAAGAAAGATTAATGTGTGCAGTCCTCAGTCTGATCCTACATGACTCCTTTGCCTTAGGCTGATGAGAAGATAAAGAATGTGTCCATCACCATCAACATGAAGATCTCATTCTCTTCCATTAAGTATCAGCGCAGCTTTATTACAGGTTTCCTCAAAGTTTTGTTTAAGGACGAGTGTAAAATAGCTGCTGTCCACATAAGTCCAAACACTGGAGGGCATCACACGTTGAGGGGATTTGGGGACTTTTACCTGCTCTTAAGAGGCTGAGGTTTAGAGGGAAAGTGAATGATCTACATAAATGCAGGTATTTAGAGAGAAGGTCTGGATTGATCATTGATATTCCCTGGAATCATTTTATGAAAAACAAAAAAGACAAATCACAGGAAAGAAAGTGAAAAGTTAAGTAGGACACTGTCAGGGAGTCCCTGGGCACGAGTCTTGGAAAAACGGCACCGCACAAATGAAAAAGAACAGAGGAGAGCTGGTTAGGGAATTCAAATAAGAATAATTAAAAACTCAAATCGGAATCTTAACTGTGAGAAAGAGTGAGGCAGAGCCATAAAGGAAGTGAGTGGGAGAGAGAGTGGGTTTTAAATCCACCAACAAGAAGAATACACTTGGATGATAACTGCCTCAGCCTAGGGCTATTAAAATATTAAGCACCGCTGTCCGAGCTGGGAGTGTGCGCGGTACTGAGCAGTATCCTCCCCGGATGTGGGCCTGAGAGGAGCTCTCCTGCCTCTGCTCTGCCTGCTCTGTGAGCCCGCTGGGACGCACGGCTTGCATGAGGAAGTGTTTTAATGTTTCTCAGATGCCTGGCTCACTGCGCGCTTTGACAAGCCAACTATCCTGGGTGTGATTTAAAGGTGCGCACACTGGGAGCAGCCAGCAGCTCAGGGCCTGTTAGCTACCTGGTGCCTTCCACAGGAAAAAGGACTCAAGTTCTTTGGCGAAAATCCCCTGTTGCTGAAAAACTTGGTCCCTTAAGTTTGAACCGTTGTAATATGAAACAAAAGTGTAATGTTTCTTCTAGCATTCACTTAACTCCAGTGCCTACATTTACATTACAGCGGCTGCAACTCAATCTCTGAGAGCTTATCTATACTGTTTCAGCAGGAAGTTATACTGGTGTAAAAGCATCAGCAACTTCCTCAGGGCATTCTAGGTAGATCCTAAAGTTTGTACAAAAGTTGATTATGCACCATATAGTTTATAGAGCCAGATTTATATAACTGTATTCTTAAGAACATCTGAGGTGTAGGAGAAGTCGAATAATACTATAATTTTGGGCAACACAACACAACAACATCTCTATAATGATTTGTTTCTTTAGAATGTTTATATTGTCATGTATGCGGATAAACTATTTCAAAGTAACATTAATCAAACTCTTTGAACTCTTATTTTCCTTTGTTTGGTCGAGTTTAAATTAAGTGAAGTTTTCTAGGCAAAATTAAGGAAGAGAAATAAGGCAAACAAGCCATATTCTATAACTGTGCCAAAGAATTGTTGGTGTAAATATTCAACTCCCACTCTGAGATGATGTACATAGTGGTGCGTGTCGCGTGCCAAAGACTGACATGTAAAAGCTTGCAAACTGTTGAGAGCCAAATGTTGATTGGAGCAGATTTGCATGTGTGCAGACTAGCATCCTTGTTATTTAGTTCAATGAGTGATGCCTCCAATAGCCTGCAATGGCCTGGAGCTTATTACACTCATAATGTATACGCAGATACTTAGCGTGCGTATATCTAAATCATTCAGCGGAACTTGGTTTAAGTGAACACATGGCGAACAGCGCGCTTTTATCTAAAACTGTGCAATTGTAGCCGTTTTATTGACTCTAACAGATAACAGCAATTATTTCTCTGAGTGCGCTTTCTGCCTGCTGCCAAATGTGAGCTGGCAGATTATTAAAAAGACAAGTGGTCTCTTTGATACCGAGACAAAATACAAGGGGGTATTTTTAGCTGCCGTAAAGGGGTGCCAGCTTTGTTCAGGTGAATTTTCAGATTTTTCTGTCGAGAAAAATCTAATGCGTGTTGGTGCGGTGCCTGTAGTCTGAAAGTCCCAGATTAAGACGTGCACTGGCGATGAGAGAGTTGTGGGATATTGGGAGTGGCAGGTCACGCTGAATGTTTCATGAGATTACAGAATCATGGCATGTATCATGGCTTTGACTTAAATTGTTAAAGTAGCCTGAAGTTCAGTGGAGGGGTGAGGGCTCTCATCTTTTATTCCCGAAACTATCTGCTCCATGTTGAAGAGCATTGGGCTTTTCTGTGGACGTCCTGTCTTTGCCTTCATGTTCCTGACACCCACAATTCTCCTCCAGCTCTCCCTGCTCTGTCCCACTTCTCCTGCCTCCCGGTCCAGGACGCTTTGTCTCCTCTGTTGTGTCGCTCCCTCTCCCATAATGTCCTGTGTCTCCCTGGGACAGGAGCTGGCAGGCAGATGGGACAGATGAGGATGGTAGGGATTGGCTAATCCCTAATCTGCTGTCTCCTTGCCACTGTGGATGGCAGAGGAGCGGGCCGGGCCGTGCCGGGATGGGACAGGAACAGAGCAGTGGAGGAGAGGCTGATGGAGCCAGCTGTCAGATGGAGAGTCTTTCATGGTCCTGCGCACACAACAGCTGCAGCGGGCCCGCCTGCACGCCTCTGCATTATTAAGCATCTTTTTAGTTGGTTCCAGATGCAGACCTAGCTGTGTTTACCCAGGCTTTGTGCGTCCTCCCCCCGTATGCCGCACACATTGTACTAGCACCTTCACTTCCTCCTTCAGTGGCCCGTCATCTCCCTGTTTCCATGTTGTAAGTTTGATGTGGTCAAAATCACTTGGCTCGTTTGTCTTTGCCAAGCTTAATGTGCAGCGCTGGAGCAGGCGACCTCTGCACCCGCAGGCTGTGTTAACACCTCAATAGTTTAGGCTCATTTTGTATTTGCAGGTGGCCGACATGGATTTTAAATCATTTAAACGTGTCAGGACTTTTTCCGACATTTTGCCTTTAGAGGAAATGAAACTACAGTGTCGTATGGCGCCAAATGGTTGTAATATATCTATTGTGCAATGTTCACTTGTGATCCAAACTCATGCAGTCAAAAGTGCTGTTCCCTGGAAGAGAAAGATTGCCTGTCAGATCCTAGTCATATATTGTGAGAATACAAAGCTGCATTTCGAAATTCTCCATAAAACCATAAAACTGTGTGACATCAGAGGCTCAGGGTCCAGTACTTTAGTGTTGGAAGTGGAGGTGTTTTCTGTTGTACATCTTCTGCCCTCCAGAAATAAACCACGGAATACTCACACATCTCAGTTTGAAACAAACCCACCACATCTGCAGTTTTGTTCAGATATCACTGTGATATTGTCGGCATTGGTTTGTCTCAAATGCATGCGTTTCCAAGTTCTTTTGTCGAAAAAAGCTTGACCTTTGAATATAAATACAGTTGGTTTACTTTGTAATCAGAAACATCATTTGCAGAAGGTGTTTTACATTTGAAATACATTTGATATACACCATTTCTTTTGCAGATTTGCATTTTTCCATTAGTTTTTTACAAAAGTCTTGTATTTAAGTGAAGTCATCCATTTTATTTGATGACTGCTCATCACAAAAACACATTTTAATTGCTTATTGTTAACATCTTGGGGAACGTATGTCCGCTGGAGCACCATGAGTGAGCTGAGCTACTTGGCCTGGCAGTAAAGGGGTCTTGTCATTTTGATAGCAGGCCTGTGCTGAACAAAAAGGGGCGATGGCAGAGTTGTGAAAGGTAATTATGACATAATTAAATGGTTTCATGTGAGTAATTACTATGTGCTGTCATTACATTGGTACATGTCTGCATATAGAAACAGAGGAACTGGTTTAAAGGCTAATGTGCAGTGTAAACAAACACAAACACACACGTGCATGAGCGCGCACATGCATTTAGATATTCAAACATCAACCTTTTACCAACGCCAGCTTTCAGGGGGCTAATCTGTGTCTCGCTCCCGCCTCTTGTCAAGTTCAAGAGGGTTAACAAATCTTTACCTCCGCAACAGCCCTCCTCTTCCCCCTTTCATGTCCACATTTGTTCGCGGTATGTCCAAAAATCTACAGAGGCCCGTCCCGATCCAGTTGGGATTGGTTTAGCTGAAGAGCTGGAGGCTTTTCAGTGGCTGGCATCTGTTGTTCCTCTTCCCAGAGCTGCTGGCAGTCAGTTAATGGCCATGCTTGGGACCCGGAGAGGGAGAACAGTGGCTGATTTCCCCATAGCCATCGCACCATTCCCGGCACACCACCAACTGCAGATGAGCCACCAGCAGCTAGCAACACTCGGGCTAATGCTCCGCTTCTCTGAGAGTTGGGGGCAGATGTTCCTCACTTTGTGCGCTCCATCACATAACTCAGCACTGTCAACTTTGTCTTTGATTCAGCCGCTGTGTTTGTGCCAGCAGATTCACAGGCGGTGTTCAAACTCCAGGAATGAGAGCGAGTGACATGCGAACACCTAGACAAATCAATGTAGCTAATTACACACAGATGCAAAGTGGAGTTGGGGACTTTTAAAACATCGGGATTCATATTTGCAAATAGAATAAAATAAATGAAGTGATTAAATAAAACCAATAGTTAACCAATCAATTGACTAAGACGTGTATTTCAAAACCTGTATGTCACAAATGTGCAGAACAAAATAACAGAAAAATAAGACAGTTCTGAAAAGAGGCTGGATTCAGTGACGAGGCGTGAACTGAAAAATCTGCTCAGATGAACTTTGTAAACTTTTTTTGGGGTGAAAAACAAATACCACAAATGATAAAAATGTACTGGCCAGTTTGAAAACATATTTTGTTTATTTCCCTGTAACTTTATAAATTCATAAAAAATGACATGTTTTGATACTTTTCGGTTTTAAACAGAGGCCATGTACACTCATGAAACGTCCCAGGATTTTACATTTTACGGAAGAAATAAAGATTGGAAGATACAGTTAAAAAAGGGCTTGGATGATGCAAATGCTTATTGGGCTCCAACCTCTCTCACTCTCTCTCAAACACACACAAAAAACACACAAAACACACACTCTGACCATTCAAATTCCCATCTCTTGCGTCACGCTGAGAGCATCACACTCTTTCTCCAGTATTTTAAAAGCAGTGATGTATGTTTTATCGTTTCTCTATGTCTGCTTACATTCTGTTTAACATATTTGTACTTTTCTGTTTCTGTCTCTAAAAAATTTAAAACAGATGTGTTTTTCATCTCGTTTCCTCGTTTGGCAAATCCTGATCCTATCAACAAGTGCATGTTTTGCTGAATGCGACGGCTGCTGCATGGCTGATGTGGACTTACTGCGGATCATGCATGTTATTATCGTTCATATAGGGCTCACTCCCACATCTGCATAATACTGAAGGAGGTTGCTACAGTTTAATCAGTATCTTGTTTCTCTGGAGAGTTAAAGCTGGATATGTTATCACTAAGGAGGAAGTTCAAATGAAGCACGATAAATAAATTAATGCCTTGATGATTAGCTGTCACATAAGCAATTAAAATGACTTCAAATTATTCATTTTCAAACAGGTGCAGTCAAAGAAGGCTGTGATTGTTGTAGTAATTGTCAAAAATTGAACAATTTGTTTTGACGAGCCTTCCATATGCACAGCTTATGAAATATTTAATGTGACTTGCATAAAATAAATCAGAATCATTTAATAATAGAATCCCATACAGCCTCAGTGCCATGGGTATTTTTGTCTCTTCTTTCACTCTTCCTGAGCCTTTTTCATTTGCACGGTTGGTATAAATGTTCAGGGCTTTCGAAGTCACCGTGACAAAACTGTGTATAAAACTCAATCACATTCTTTTAGCAAATTATTAATTGTGACTGTCATTGTCACAGCATCCTCCTGACAATCTCACAACTGCCTCAGAAAAATACACTTGACAGCTCAAGACCCCAAATCCCACAATGAATTCGTCCTTGACACATCCTTAATGACGATCATCTTGATGATTGTAAATACATTATCATATCAGATCACGTCTGTGTTGCAATCATCACCTCCATTTCCTTTTAATTAAACGGCAAAGCTGACACCACATCTGTCAAAAAGGAAGTGAGACTTTTTTTGAAATCGGTGTGAACTTCTCCTTTTTTCCTCGTTCCTGTTTGAGCACAAACAATGGAGCAGAATACGCCTTTGAAAATAACAAGCTCCATCAGTGGCGCTCTCCTCCTCGGCCTCTCCCTCTATCACACACCCTTTTCTCCATCTTCTATCCTCCTCGTCTCTTCCTTCTCTCCCATCACTTGAAAGGCAGGGTAATGAGACAGCCAGAGAGCGCGAGGAAGGTGTCCGCAGAGCATCAGTTGTGTGTGCGAGAAGTGAAAATTTACTGCGAATGAGACGATGGCCCGTAAATTCATTTTTATTCAGATTACTGTCATCATACATTACCGCTCGCCTTGTAAACATTTGGCCTGGCTCTTTGTGATGCGGTGTCATTATTTGCCAGATTACGTTATTAAGCTATTAACACGTCAAGCGCGGCGGGCAACAATGCAGGGGCACGCTTAAACAAGCTGAAGAGAATAGAGGAGGTGTCACTGGCTTGACATATGAAGGCACTTAATAGCTCCAGCTCTGAGGACAGACGAGAGGAATTAAACAGACAGCTTTCAGCGCCGAATGGAGAGCGCGCTTCCCAAGTACTCCAACCTGACTCCCCTGTCTTTACAAGGCCATTACGGACACGCACAGTAAATAAAAAGCAGTAATCCAAAGCTATGGGAGGTATATTTCCTCTTGTGTATGTTTATGACTCATATTTACATGTTATTGTTGCCATTACTAAAACAGAGGCCTGTTTTTGATTTCTATTTGACAGGCCCGCATGATGCAGGGCAGTTATTACAAAGCACCATTATTATAGATGATCAATGAATAGTGATTTTTTTTTCTTGCTGCGGTAATTATAATGCAGAGATTATTAAACATCAACTGTGGTTATCACAACAATATAAATATAAAAAAACAAATACAATATCATCCATCTTACACAATGTATTTATGGTATCGTAAGTAAACACATATAACAGAGAGCAAAGAATCAAAGTTGCATGTTATATCTATGAATGGGCCATTTGTAATTACGTAAAAAAAAAGATCAGATCAAAGATGATTCTTAAAGTAGGACGAAGCAGTAAAACAATATAGATAATAAGCTTTCAACATGTTTTTTTTGTCTATGAAAATACACGACTAAATTCACCCTTTTGTACAAACAAATATTAAAACTATAACTAGCTCATTGTTCTCGCAAACCAGTGTCTGCCAATTGGGTCATGTCTCCAGGGAAGCAGATGTTGATTTTATTTCTCTTACTTTAAAATTCCAAACAATTGCCAAAACAATTCCACAGCTTCAAAAATCAAGACGCATGTTTGCTATCAATTCTGAGCATTCGGTGAAAGAAAAGTTGCTTCACCAGGGTATTAAGAGATTAGGAGAATGGCATAAAAGGGGATGGGTTTATTTAAGTGCACACAAAGGTTTGCTATGAATAAAGTCTGAGTGAAGTTCTGCCATGATGCACTTTTGAAATATGGCTTCTATGGAATAAGTTTGTGATGAACAATATGGACAATAAATACAGTTCAAGGGTGGGAAAGTGTAACCAAAAGTTTCTGTTTGCTTGTTGTTGAACAACAATTTTTCATCAAATCTCTCGGAGAAAAAAAGAAAGAAAAAAAGTCAGCATTATGAAATAAACAGTTTGTCCCTCTGGTGACATGAAGCGGCTGCGCACGGACAGCCAAGTCAGCGCTTTCCACTGGATAAATCCACAGTAACCTATTGAAACGCTTCAACCACGGCCAAAAAATCAGCCGCGACAGCCAATGAAAACCGCCGCGTTGTTCAAGCCAGCACAGCAGCTTAGCAGTCTTAACACAGAATCCACCACTTATCATCATCGGCATCCAGCGCCACAACACTCCAGCATGAAGAGGCTTGAGTTAAGCCGGTTAAAATAACACGAGACAATACATCAACAACAGCTTCCTCTCCCCTTTTGATGCCTGCTTAATTTGAATGCTACAATGGGCTGAATCCTTGTTCTGGTGCTCGACCAGACGACCACAGCGCTCTGTCCATCTCTGCTGCACATCAGAGGCTGCTGGAGGAGCGCGGGGGCCCCTTGGTACTGTGTGGGCTTGGCTGATAAAGGCCTTATTTCAGGGTCTTCCAGTGAGGGCCGGATTGCGCTTCCCCCAGCAGGGACGGCCTGGGTGCGATTGCTGGGCTAAGCGCTGGAGAGCTGCAACATGGAGTGATGGAGGAAGTAGGAGGCAAGGCGAGGTGGTAGGGAAGAGCAATAACGTGCTCTAGCTAGGGACCTGCACCATGCATATGACACCTTTAAGCTTTAAATTGAAGAGTTTACAAGTTCAAGCTCTCCACTTCTCCCCTTTGTTTTGGGAGCCTCTAAACGTGGCCCTGGTGGTATTTAACTTCTCTTCTGAGCGCTGACACATGACTGAGGTCCCATTACCCCTGTTTTCAATTGGGGCAGGCGATACCCATTGACTGGTATGGGCCCCACGAACCGTTTTTACCTTGGGCTCATCCAGGACTTGACATGGCCTTTGAACCTGAGGAGCGCAGCTGTCAAATGTCTGGCCTGTCAGTCCCTTTGGAAACACACAGATTCTTCCCAGCAAATGCACACAAACACGCACACACACACACACACACCCACGCGCAAAGTCCAGTATTGCTTGAGTTACATCAAAAAGTAAACTTAAAACCACACATTGTTACACTTTTTTTGTGTATCTATAACTTTGAGTGGTTATGCAGAAATTCGGCTAAAATTACCCAATGATGCATTCGGATTTTGCTTAATATTTCAGTGTGTTGTTGTAGTAGCGGCCTCATGAATATCCACTGTCATCTTTATAAACATGTACACAAAGTGGGAGGGGAAGATGCTGATCACATTATGAAAAGTGGGAGTGAAAGACGCTAAAATTAGCAACTGCAAATACAAGTTTCTATTGAGAAAAAAAAAGACAGGATTATTTTTGCATGTCTTCATATGAAATCTAAATTTGCATCATTGCCTCCTGTTTGCTCCGGTTCAGGTTGGTAGCCGGCAGGAGAGAAGATTTCAGTGAATTGTGCAGAGCGCGGCTGGTGAATTCACTGAGACAGGAGCACCACCAACTGGCCACAAGCTGCGTATTCACCACAAAACATCTCAGCTCCTCAGTGTTCTGATGCAAAGATAAGCCAAATGCATCCAGTCGCAACCTTTATGTTTAAGCAGTCTTGATTTATTCTTAGCGCGATCAGAAAAACAAGCAAGGCATTTTCTCCCCTTCCGTCTCCCACCTCAAAAAAAAAAGCCTTCCAAGAGGTTGACTTCATTGTATCCATCATCATGCATCTTTAATGACGTCAGGCCAGGAGCATGGGGTAAAATCACAGTGGTGGCCCCGGGCTACAACCAGTTAAAATGAGGTTCCTCTTACCCCTTCCCACGCGGAGGGAAAGAGAGAACGGCTGTGCTCGGGACCAGGCGAGAGGGAGGGCCCCCGTCGCACCCATCGATCGCTGATGTGGCCGCTCTTGATGGATACATTTGCGCGCTGAAACGTCCGACTTGAGGGCGCGGTGGGCCCGAGACATGAGCTGCGGAGACGCCTTGATTTATGGGTGCTCCTGCAAGACCGAAGAGAGGACAGTCTTCTCTCACCCAATTTGGTTTAACTTTAAAAGGGCCTTCAGAGACTAAAATACCCCAAAAAAAGAAAAAAAAAAGTCCAGAAACTTCTCTCAATTCAAAACACATGTCAGAAATTGGAACAGTAGATTCGCTGTGTGTTTTCTTTCTTTGGTTAAATTCTGTCACATAATTCCTCGCATTTCCTCAAATCTATATTCTATTAGTCACGGAGCAGCTCTTTCTTTTTATATTATAGCGATTGTGAATAGCCGCTGGTTGGTTAAACTCAATTACACACACTAACCCTCAAACAAATAAGTCAAATATAGCTCAGGGCCAACATGCATTTTATGTCACAGAGTGCCAAACAAAAGCAACAAGCAATAAAAAACATCTCCCACATTTCACAGCGTACTGTATTTCGTGGTCATTTCCTGCAGAACTCTGTGATAGTCTGAGTGTGGCTTGGAAACATCTTTCAGTTGCCGAGCCCCCAGCCTTGACCTCGAGGGTCAAAGTCAGTCAGCCTCTTCCTGTCTGTGGCTTTTCCCAGGATCCCCTGCCTGTCGGCATGTCAGCACCTCTCCTGTCTCCTCACCAACTCAGGATGTTGCTTTTGCCTTCCAAGAGTTTCCTGAAACCGGAGGAAAATAAGAAAAAAATATTGGTTTCCATGCAGGGGTCAGTTAGTGTGAAAAATAGATGAAAAAGGGCATTAAATATCACTGTTCTGTGTAATTGACTCAATTTTACAAACCGACAGGCCTATGACATACACTTATTTGTGGATGGGAGGATGCAAAGGCCCTGGGGAAGCCTTCTTTTTAAAGCAGAACAATTTAGTAATGCATCTTTTATTTCCTTTTTTATTTGGCACATTTGAATTATTAGCATATTTAGGCTTATAAATGCATGAGGCTTATTGTTGGATAGCCCTCTGCCACAGCAAGATAATTCAAGTTAGCACTAAAACCGGGCCGTGTAGCATTGGTCTGATTAAAAGAGCATGTTGGACAATTAAGGGTGACGTTGCTAAAAAAGCCAGGTGGGTTCCATGCGGAGGTGACTGGAAAATGGGCCGCAGCGTGCTTCCTCTCCTCCTCCCTCTCTCCTCTCTGCAGGTACAAAGCGCAGGAATGAGGGCTAAATGACAAGGTTGCACCCCTGGCTACAGACGTCCTGATTACTTTTTGTCTCACGCCTCACAGCAGCCCCAAAAATAAAGCCGCACTTCTGAAGAAATATACGGTCAGTAAAGGGGACCGTGTTTGCGACGCACAAGTTGGCGGAGTAACACACCTCTCTACTTATGCACCTCTCAACTCATATTCACTCAGATGAGACAGTGTGATACTTAAAAATTCTCCCCTCCAAGTGTACGAGTAACTCCTATTCCCAGGCCGAGCAGCCCAAAGAGTATGTGTGTATAAATGGAAGGACTGTCATTTCACATTCATTAAAAGTGAAGTTCCAAAATTAATAATGTAAAAATATGGGTTTTAATTAGTCTTCTATTCTGCCCAATGTACTTAAATTGGATCATCTGGTCCCCGATGCCCTTTCACTTAATAAAGAATTAGCCTGTGATGTTCTCAGCTTGACAGGTAGGATAAAGTGCAGAAAATCACTGCTGTTATATAAAGGATATATCCGTTTGTATGTAATTTGCAGCTTAGTCAATTTGACAGGGGGGAGGATCCCAGCCATGGATCTCAAGCATATTTTTTCCTTTAATGCATTTCTATCATGTTATGGCGTGACCACACTATTGCCTTGTGCTGCTCACTTCTGTCGTATAATTAGTGACATTAATCCAATTTGATTGGATGTCTTGCTCGCGTTGAAATGATCGTTACTTTGAAATGCACCTAGATTACATTAGCTTTTATGAGCTGAAAATAAGTTTATTAAAATCACTTTTAATGAAGCTGTTGGTTGGTTTGATGCATACAAAACAGCCTACAGAGCAAATAAAGCCCCTTTGATTCAATCAGATAGTAGTCTATAATTTGAAACATTTATCAATTACTCACACATACAATATATACACAGTTGAAACCGAAAGTTCACATAAGTACATTTAAATATACTTGTTTAAATTGTAATTGTTTTAGAATGTAGTGTACTGTAGTAATAGTATAGTAGTGTAATGAATAGGTCATGTATAAACAACTTTTGGGTTTTTTGCCAGGCCAAATATATAAGTATTGTTAATAGTAATAGTTTGTAAGTTGTATTTGTTAAGAGTAGTGTGCCTTAAATACATCAGACACAACTTACGGAGCTTGTTGGTTGCAGGAGGTCAAATGGGGGTTGAAGGCTTTAGTTGAAGTATACGGTGTATATGAGTGATCCTTACATTCAGTGGTCGTACGCTGGTGTTTGTGCTCGCCTAAGTGGGTGTTGTCGCGCTATTCTCAGGCAACGAGCCCAGACAGCTCTCCCTCTCTCTCACTCCCTCGCGCGGGACAGGCACAGCTGTCAGATCAAAATCAATCGCATTTTAAAGGACGTGCGAGCTAAATATTTCATTCTTGCCTTGGGAACCAATTAAGTGCTACATATGAAGTCAGAAGGACTGGTTGAGCCGGAGCCGTACTGGTGCGTACCAGCTGCTCCATTGCTTACCACACCCCCCACCCCCTTTTACACCATGCAAATGTGTCAGTGTGAACGCTCCAGTTCAATTACCTAGTGATGTTTTAAAAATGCACCAAAGCCAGACTGGCAGTGCAGCATTGGAGGGGATCCACCCCAGGTATGTTGTTTATTTAGTTGTTGTGTGTTGTGCTGGCTGTTACCCATTTGCCCTGATTGCAGATGTAAAGGATCAGTGCAGTGCCATGTGTCAGGAGAACCTCTCACCGGATGGCAGGGACAACTGGCATCTACTTCTCCAACTGTTCTGACCGTGGCCTCCACCTCCGCTACACCGCACAACTTCTTCCAGATAAAAAATAATGTTAATCTTTTAGAATGTATCCTCTGGGTGAGCTCACATATATAGCTTAACTGATGCTGAAATCTGTGCCATTTTTTATTTGCTCTCCTGTCCACTTGTCTATTTCCGCTTCTCTTTAATCAGATTCCCAGAGCACAATAAATCATGCTCTATGTATTCCTTTTGGGTTTGAACAACCGTGGCGTCCTTCTGCTGCATCTGCTTTGTCGATTTAAAGGACAAGTAAAAGTACTAAAAGTATGTGCGAAGACTGAGGCAAAGCAGGGGGTTTGGTAGATTAGAGAGAGGAGTAGAGCAGAGAAGTCACACTAGGAAGGTTAAAGTGTGTGTGGAGGAAAAGGGGGAGGCAGGAGGAACAGTGGCATACAGTAATCGCTTGGAAGAGGAATCTGTGAGCTTAAGTGGAAAAGAAGATATCTGCAAGAGCAAAGATGAGAAGTGAAAGAAAAACAAAAGCAGCGGAGAGAGTGAGAGACAGTGCAAAAAGCAAAGTGTGAAAGAGAGTGGGAGAGAGCGGCAGAGAGCAGAGGAGTGCGGAGCGGCTGGGACTATGATTGATAATGGTGCTGACAGAAGCCCTCTGGCCATGCTCTCTGTGGCAGTTTGGGGAGACAGGGCCTCCCCGCGTGAGACCGGCTGCCCCTCGCCACTGTCCCAGCACACACTCCACATCTGGTGGGATCGCCCACGCTGGGTCAGGGGTCGCCCGCACCACGGGGGCTACTTTTCGGACTCACTTCCCCAGAATGCTCCGAGAAATATATGGGGTCTGGTGGGTACGCTGCAATAATCAGCATTTTCACAGTACAAACATGCCTAATCAGTCCTTAGTGATTGTGTTATCATCTGACCTTAGAATGAGGTAATAAGTTGCAGAATAAAAGTGGTATGACATGTTATCCAGTAGGCACGTAATACACACACACACACATATATACTATACTATATATATATATATATATATATATATATATATATATATATATAGATAGATTGTCACTTCTTGTTAAATATGACAAAGTTGCATTCTGATAATTACTGTTTCATTGTATTTAAAATACAAAATTAAAGCATGTAACATTCATGCATGTTACCTCCTTGAAGCAAAGTTTAGCTTATTTATAGGGCTTATATACTGTATATGTGTAATCATTGTGTTTTTTTCCAAATATGTCAAATTTATTTTATTTTATGTTTGCAGTAAAACCAAATTGGAATACATGCTAAAGTCCCCAGTGTGTAACGGACACTGGGGAAGTTCTTAAATAAAACAGGATAAAAAGTACAGAAATAAAACAAACCAAAAAATTGTCACTGTGAAATCTATCAACAAAATCAATGTAAATGCAAGATCATTAAAGTGCTATTTTTAAACTGTTAAAAGCTTGTGAAAAGAAGCTGTTAGCATATCCAGATGTCCTGCATCTCAACCAACAATATAAGCTGGAACATGGCTTTTCCAGGGGCCAGAAGAGTCATTACTTTGGATTCACTGGCGTGCTTCTTTGTATGTGAGACTTGCTGTAAATATGTGAATATATATGTGATTATTATGTGTGTTTTTATCACTTTTTTTTCTTTAAACTTGTCTTTCATTATTCTTACTAAGGATCCTGTGCTTGCATATGAGTCCTTAATAAAGTCTAAATACATAAAAATAAATAAATCACAGAACCAACAGGCAAACTTTCAATGGTGCAGTAATAAAAGTTAAGCTAACTCTAAGATCCTTAGAGTTTGTGGTAAAACATTTCTGCAGAGAAACTTTCTTGACAAGCCGATGTTTTTGTTCCATTTTAGGTCATTAGACAAAGTTAAACCAAGAAACTTGCTCTGCTCTACAATCTGCACATGGGAGTTATCAATAACAACAGGCGTGTGAGAACCGTTATGGCTAAAATCTGTTAATTTTCTGTGCATATTATATATTTAAGTAAAATAAATCGTTATTTTTAATAGAAGTTCTTCTGTGTGTATTTTCTTACCAAAATTATCATCTAAAACAATAATTTGTTGAATTTTCTCATGACCACTGTATTGGGATAATTCCTTGTATTACATTCTACAGAACCAGAATTTACATACACAAAGAGTTTTTTAAGTGTGTCAGCCAAAATAATGACGTAATGCATTGGGCGCAATCTCAGGAGCTGAGAAAGGTGTCTAGCGATGATTGAAAGGCAGTGTACCTGGGTGCTTGGTTTGCCCAGGTGTAAAGAGGCCGGAAGTGTGCGTAAGAAGACTCTTCTTAAAGAATCACATCTGCGGTGGCGTGGAGAATGCAGCCATACTCAGTGGAAGTTCCTCAGCAAGGGTCCCGGCTCCAAAAAGGTCCATGAGCATGTGCGCTGACATTATCCAATGCTTTTGTATGGCGTCTTCTTACCTCTAAAACGGCTTTACAGGATGGTCCGAAAGTTGGCTCTTGGCCCAGATTTGTCAATGCTGAAGGGAGTATATCTATTTTTTTGACCAGTCTAAAGTAGCACTCAAACAAGATATATAATAAAACATGATAAACAACTGTAATACTTAAGAATAAAAATAAAGTATTTGAGTACTTTCAAGGTTCAAGGTATCTTTATTATCCCCAAGGGGCAATTTGGTTGCAGCAGCAAAAATGAGTACTTTATACTCAAACATCTTAGCTGTAGATTAAAACTAGAACTATACCTATGATAGGAATCAGACTCAGGCAAAACGGGATCTTTGTACGACAAAGCCTCCTGGCTGGTTTATTCACAAAATGGTCGTTAATTTCAGACAGAACAAAAGACACAGATACATTATATATGGAAATCTACGTCATCATAAAAAGGTCAAACCTTCGGCACCAAATAGCCTAAAACAACAAAAGTCTCTATGGTCCTTGAGACCTCCACAAGGCCAGGTTATTAATACTATTTTGTCTTGCATTTGTCCACCTGTGCAGTACATAGGTCACTATTTACCACACCTATAAAGAACTTTCTAAATACCTTTTAGAGCAAGGGTGTTACACTAATTTGGTTCAGAGCTGAATTGAAAAAACTGTTTAGACATCGATTGTATGTAATATGTACTCTTAGTCAGTGGTTAATTTGTGCCGGATCCTGCCGGAACAGGATCTGGGACCTCTTGATTTTGGCCTCTACATGTTCCAGGACTTATTTGGGCAGAGCAGTCACCTCTTATATACATATTTCAAATAATATTTAAAAAAAAGTCTGAAAATGTATAAGACAAGATAATAATATTCATTTACAGAATAAATCCAACAAATTTCATGTTCTCTACTAAAATGTTATGTAATTTTGGAGTGTCGGGATCAAACCACGCCCCTCACAGAAAGTAAGGTTTGCCGCATCTGGGATGTTTACGGTGAGGACCAAGTTGACCAACTGACCAAGCAGAGAGGAATAGTGTATGCGTTTTTTCAACGCAAACATGTCAAAAAGACAATTGAATCTTATGTATTTTTTCAAGTAGACGGACAAGTTGCATGATGCTTCAAAACGAGTGAGGAAAGCAGCAAGTGGCGATGCTAGTGACCAGGAGGCAGAGGCTAGCCCCGCAACAGGTGATCCGGTTCATTGCCAGCCTGAGTGGGGGGCAGATACCGCCATCAACAACCGGAGCAAGAGGCCAGTACAGAGACATCAGCTAGCCAAGTACACTGTTAGAAATAAAGTGTCAAAAATGTACCTTTAAGGGTCCAACTGCTCGTCACTGGGGCAGCACCCTTAAGGGTACACCCATTGGACCCTTTTAAAAAGGTACATTTTAGTACCCATATATTTTGTACCCCATGAGGACGTATTAGTACCCCTTGGGACAATAATGGACCTTTATGTATGGGACAAAAATGTACCTTTAAAAGAGGGTACAAATTTGGCTTCTTTAGGGTACCGCCCCAGTGACAAACCCATTGTACCTTTATAGGAACATATTTGTACTGACAAACAATACCATATTGTCACCCATTTATTTAACAATTAAGTGAAATGTTCAAATAATTAACAATTCATGTCAAAAAACATTGATAAAAATCATCTGCCTTTACATCATATATGTTGTATCTCTAAACATATCTTCTAAATCACCAAAACATGCTACTATTTATACTATATATATTTATACTATTTACAAGTATTCAGGGCATTAACATTTGAACAATTGATAATTAAACATTTCTTAATGTGATGTACAAACTACCATCAATATTATACATGTCAAGAGGCTGAAAGTCAATTATATGCCCTGACGGAATTACAGTCCATTCAAAATCCTGCTCAAGTGCATAGGCATGTAAGTGTGAATCATAACACTTTGGAACAAGTAGTTTATCACACAGTAACCATTGTGTATCAATGTTGAAAATTGTTTTAGTATTGTGTTCATACAAGGAGGCTCATCTCGAGGAGGTTCATCTCTAGGTTCATCATTGTCCAGATTGTCCAGGGTTTCAGTGTCATCATTTGAATGAATCTCGCGTTGCATATGTTCTGAATGCTTCCGATAAACATGGCGCCTGAACGACTCATATACTTTAAAGGTTGACTTACAATTATTTATTCAACAAGTTACACAAAAGTTGGCGTCGTGAGCATGAATTAGTCCAACATGCTGAATCAGTTTCATTAAGGTGAATGAAACTGCTACACTTTGTGCATTTATATGGTTGAGGCATGTTTAGTAGAGCAGGTTGATCATGCGAGTGACAGTGATGGGTAGGGGTTTCTCACCAACCTCTGAAATGTTCAGTACCACACGTTGGAGAAAGGTCAGGGTGTTCTTCAGATAAGGGGGATAAGCTAAATTGAAAACGTAGTAGGAACTAAAGGCTGCTATTATTCCTTCTTCAACTCCTGTTCCCTGACACACTTCTGTACCATCCACCACGACAGAAACTGGGACCCTCCTCGTTAAGATGGTCTCCCAGTCCCTGTCACTCAGCTGTACAGTTGGGTAGGGAGTTGGACAGATGGCGTCAGTCTGCAAAAGAAATACAATTGAATACATAAATCATTACAGATAAAAGGACACATTGACACTGAAAAAAGCAAATGTTGAACTTAAATATATTCCCGTTTTGAATAGGCTTGATTATTTTTAGCATTGTCCACCGTTTCACTATGTTGTTCCATTGTTTAATTAAAGACCTTATGACGGGTTTGATTTATTTCGAAAAACAGTTTTAATACCATTTTATATTAGAAGAGAACTACTAAAGGTTTCAAAGTCAGTTGTTGTTTTTTTTGTCTGATCCCCCCAAATCGAAATAACCCCATAGCAACGCCCTTAGAAACGAAAAAACTTCACAGCCCTTGGTGACGTCAGAACGGGTACGTTTCAACGCTGTAAGTTGTTTACAATTTGGTATTCGTTCTTTTTTCGCGGATATTCAAGATGACAAGGCCGTGTACAGCGAGTCTAAGATAACTACTAGATTGTATCATTTTGTTGTCACTGAGATAGTCCAGTGGTTGTGTCGATGGGCTGTCAATCCAGAAACTTGGGTTCAATTCCCAACTCGGACACTTTTTCACCCTCAAAACGGCAATTTATGTGTAGTGAGCAATTGTCACCTGTAGAGGGCAGTATTGTGTTGGGCATCAGTAGACATAAGAGAGAAAAGGCAGTCCTGTGGCATAGATCCATGGTTTTCAATGCATGGGCGTAACCCGCTATGACGTCACACACAGGTTAGAGCATAGACAACTTAAATTCATGAAAAACACGATCTTTTTATAAAATATAGGATTTTTTTTGCCGGAATCTCTTTCAAATTGACATTGTCATGCAATTTTGATATCCACTATTTTTTTTTTTAAAACCCGTCATAAGGTCTTTAAATAGTGTTCTATTAGAAGATCCACAAGAGTTTTATTTTTACTTAATTTTCATTCCATCACCGAATGTTGTATTTTAACATCTGCCTTGTTGTCCTTTTGGAACAGCTGAATATTTAAATTTGTCTCGAATATGTTGTAGTAGTAGTGTTTGGTTTATTGGAAGTCACATAATGTACATTGAGTTTTTAACATATAGCCAACATGAACATCTAAAGATCTTGTGTCAAAATCAAAACAAATCAGTTAACAGAAAATCACCATATGGTTGAATACCAAATCAATTTAAAATTAAATTCAGGTCAGAAACTTATCTCTGCACGCTGCTGTGTTTAGGGTGGAAAATATAGTGACATTTACCATGTGAGAGTTCTAGCGGCATGGGTTTGCGCTCGCTCCGGTGAACAGTGCTTTTGAGCGCTTGGTCAACGTGCCATTGTGAACCGATTCTTTTGCATTTCACATCAATTCACATTTTAAAAATAGATTAGAATCAAAAATAGAGGTCAATTTTCTGTGATTTGTTACCTTACTAGTAAAAAATATAGTAAATGTTTTTTTTTAAACCCACAAACTCTCAATTGCATTCTTCATGGAGAAATATTAGTTGGATCATTTCTCTGTATTGTCAACATTAGGCAAAGGTTAAAGTACATTTATGTAGATTGAAAAATAAAATGAAGCATTACCTTAAATAATCGTTCGGTTTTCTCTTTGAAGAGCGTGGGCAGCAAAATTAGTGCTGCTCTGAAGTCAACATCTGTGAGAAAAATAATAGTTAATATTTTATTGGCAAATACTGCCCTCTAGTTTCCTCAAATCATGTTTATAGGCACTCCCTTCACACGGGTGAGAGGAGCCCCTAGTCCTTTTAGCAAGGAATTTTAGCATCATAATTGTGGAGGGACAGCATTATGTATGAAATCTGCCAACAGTAGTTTAACATTTATATGTTTGTATTAACAATTTAATTGATCATGATTTATATAATTCTCAAACATATGAAATTCTTCACTCACTTTTTGACATTATACGTATGAAATTCTTCATACGCATGTCAAAAAGTGAGCCCGAAGGTTTGTAAAAATGATGGGGGAAAATGTTACAAGGAAACTCACCCCATGCCCTCTTGATTGGGCCCCAAAAATGGAGACAGTTTAAAACACAAATGGATCTGATTTATACATATGTGTTTTTAATTGTATTTTAATGGTGATGATTTGTGCATTGTGTGGTGTGGACTGTGAGGCGCTTTGTGTTGCCCTGTGCAGGAAAAGCGCCCTATAAATAAAGATTGATTGATTGATTGATTGATAATAAGTGAGCTAAGGAGAAAAATACCATTTAATTCCCTTCTCTGGTATCAGTTCATATCGAGTATCGGCAGACATTGAAAGCCAAAGTATCAGGATCGGTATTGGACTTACAAAAGTTAGATCAGTGCATTCCTAAAAATTGCCATTTGGATTTGATTGTGGTAAAATGTGCTGCCCTACTCCCAATATTTGCTGTATATAGAAGTTAAAAACCTTGTAGGTCGTCTGCCAGAATGTCCTCCCTGGCAGCAGAATGTACTTTGGTCAGTGGACTTTTTCCTTGGGCCAACTCGATCACTTTAGGCACAATTTTGGTCAAATTCTGTCGCCAGCGTTGACACAAAATGGTATTTACTGGATGCATCCTGTCCATTTCGGTGCATAGCTATAAAAAAGTGGGAATATACTTCATAATAAACACACAAAAACATGTTTTTTGAGCGGCCAATATAGAAAAATAATACAGTGGAATTAGTGGGGAAAATGTTATGGTAGAGTGTGTTAAATGGTTGGAGACTTTAAGTAAGATTTATTTGTATAGCGCATTTCACAGAGCAGGATCACAAAGCGCTTCACACGTTATAACACATAAAATACATATACAAGACAGAATTAAAAACAAAACACAGAAAAACACAATGATCAGTAAGTGAATTGTGGAGCAAGGGGTTAACAATACTAAAATGTATAGTAAATGGAAAAAAGTAAAGTGGGTCTGATTTGATAAAAAGTATAAATACCTAAAACGTTGAATGTGTAGTTCTTACCTCTCTGGGAGATCTCAGGAAGGGGTATTTCTTAAGAACATCCACCACTGTCATCCCACCTATAATTTCTTTCCGGCGCCAAGAAAATGTACGCTGCATACGGTCTTCTACCAATGAAGCATCGGGGTTCACCTTCTCATACTGCACATGAAGGACACGAACATGTTGCTCTATAGAGGAGGCATCTTCACCGCTTACACTTGGAAACTAATGGAAGAAAAAAGAAAAAGTAAATTTCTCTGTCTCTTTACATTGAACAATAACTGCATAATCATTGGATAATGCTATATCTATAACTTAAAAAGCTGGATTATCCAACTTTGGAACCACAACGTAAAAAATATCACTAGTGCTTATATTACTAGTTTTCACATTGGTATTGGCTGTCACAGCTTTAGATCAGATTTTGTAGTTAAAAAGACAGTACCAGCCCTCACTCAGCCAATCAGCTCTCAGTATGGCTGGGCAATTAATCTCATTTGCAATTATAACACAATATTATAAAGATGCAATTTTCTAATCGCAAAGACATGGAATTACTCAACAAAGATGCTCAGCTGACAAAATAAGACTTGACAAGATCCTGCAGGGAAAATAATGTCCCTGATTTTATATTTTGAATCATCGTTAAACTGCAAAAATGATCTTAGTTATTTTTCCTCAATTTGAGTCATTTTGACATTGCCAAGTAAAAACATCTGCCAATGGAATAAGTATTGTTGCACTCAAAACTAGATTTTTGTACTTGAAAAAATAATACATTTAGCTCTTAAAACTAGACAAGAAATGTAATTTTGTTCATCACACACTTTTTTTCCCAGACCAAAATTACTTATTCCATTGACAGTTTTACATTTTTAAAGTCTAAATTACTCAAATTGAAGCAAAAATATATTTTTTCATTTCAACTCACCAAGATCACTTTCGGCAGTGTAAAGTTTGACAAAAGCTCACGAGGAAAAGCTGGATAAAGGACATACAGTATTTTTCTTCTCGTTTGCACTTTGTTGTAATATTCACAATATTGGAGTGCTACAAAAAAAAAAAAAAAACGCAATTATGATTTTAGGCAAAAAACACTCGGCCCTAGCTCTCAGCATGTAAAATATATTGTTTTATTAGATAAAGACAGCGTGTGGTGATTCGTTTTGTTCACAAAATGTTACTTAAACCTGTGCTGGCACAAACTAAATGTATTTATGAAACAAAAAATGTAGATACTCCACCTCAGAGGATGCTCGTCTGCTGGGTCTGTCACATTCTGTCAACTCTCTGGTTCGCTTTCTTCCAAACTTCTCCTTACTTTTCTTTACTTCGTTTTCATGAATCAAAGGTGCACGCTCCAATTTAAATTTGCGCTTCAGGGATTGATGCCAGGTATTCTAAAAGTCACATAAAAAGGACAGAAATACAAATTGAAATCGCAATCAAACATAATTTACACATCCTACTATTCACAATTGTTACCCTTTAAATTGACTATCAATTAATAATTTGCAATAATCTATTGGAACAACTTACATAGCCATTTCCTCCTTTGTCTGCTAGGAATGGATACTTTAGGATAAGTGCTTTCACCACTTGGACATATTCTGCATTTGTAGGATACCTGTTAAAACATGACAGATACTGGTGAATTATCAATACTACAATGCCCTTAAGAAGAAAGTTGTCTTAAATCAGAAAAAGAAAACAGTGCTTCTCAGCTTGTGATAGAAAAATAAAAATGCAGACAGACAGAAGTGAGTTTGGCACTTTACAGCCGCAGTCGCCCCACTGCAAATAATGCTGTTCTGTGTTATAAGAAATGTATCAAATAACAATTATGACTTACATTGTATATCCTAGGAGCGCCTCATGGAGCACACGGACAATCCTATGTCTATTTAGACATCGTATGGCATAGCTCCTTTTTGTCTAGCAGGGCCTGTAGGTCTTTAGGGAATTGAGGACATGTAAAGTGTAATGGTAGCCTCATTTCCTTATTGTGGACACCAGGTAAGGATGGTAGGGCACTGGTGGTAGAAAATAAATTATTACAAATTGGAAAATGGCAACTGGACAAGACCACAGGTACAAGCAGTCAAAATGGGATTCCTCCAGAGTGGCTGGGCGCTCCCTAAGAGATAGGGTGAGGAGCTCAGTCACACGGGAGGAGCTAGGGAAGTCTGGGCTTAGACTGCTGCCCCCACGACCGGGCAATGGATGAAGCAGAAGAAAACGGATGGAATTGGGAAATGTTGGCAATTACATTAAAAGGAGCATTGCGCAACTGGTAGAGTTTTTGCACTAGTTTGCCACCTGGTGGTGTTTCATGTAACCGCATCCAATTCCGTTCAGCGCCAATACTTGAACGTTTGTTTATAACTGAGTCAGCGTCTTACCTTCTAATCAAGATAAATGCCAAATGAGGATCATGTTTTATCCAGGTTTCATCACACGAGGGAACATATGGTGGCCAAAACAGTGAACGGGCAGGCTCATTGCGTAACTGCCGCTTAGACAGCGCGCGAGAAAGCGACCCGAGTCAATCTGGAGTCAATGCATCCATGCCCGAGATACATTCACTGTATGCACTCATAGAAGCAACCACAGTGAATCTGCAAATGCTCATTCTACACACCAGGCCAGTGCTGATGGACTACAGATGGCTCTTTCAACTTACGCAATGCACCTTTAATGCAATATTCTATTTTATTGTGGAATGTATTACACTTGACAATATTCTCAGAACAGACTATCAAGTCACTCCTCACTTTCAGTGACTCTAAAAGGCCAATCCATAATAATAAGAAGCAAAAACAAGCAGATCTTATGTTTTTAGCCCAAGGTGCAAGAACATATAAATTGGCCTTAAATAGTGTCAGTTTGAGAAGCCATCTTATCCCCAATAACAGATTACTCCTCAAGTACATTGCCACAGAATGATGAAATGATCCTTGCTCTGATACAAATAGGAGTACCTCAGATAAACACTTTTTGGAGTTTTGACATACCTTTCTCAGGTGGGTTGGTCGTACTCTGGGACAGGCTCAAGAGTTATGGAGATAATTTTGTTTCGTCGAATAAACTGGAGAAATTGAGCTTGCTTTTTAAACGAGCTAAATAAGGAGGACACCATTGTGTCAGTCAGACCACACTCCAAGGCTTCACCGTCAACTTCATGCTCTATAAAGAGAAAGCCTCTCTCGTGCGCAAAGAGCGCGGGAGAGAGAAAGACAATATACATCGATTATTTTTTTTACATACAAAAGGCAAGATATCACACATAGCGTTTACCTGCTCACGAGGAATTCAACACATCGTAGTTAACGGTCATCTAGTAATGCTTTGAATTACTAGCCTGATTGCTAGGTTAGTTTAGCTACGGCTAGTAGCTAAAATAGCCTAGCAATCAGGGTGCCTACCTGGGTACACCGCTGTACCACATAAACTTTACTCTATTTTTTAAGGACGGGGATAGTCCTCCCTTCAAGACACACGGCCAAAGCGGGATACAGCAGCCCTCCCAGTGTCTGAAAATAGCCGCTACACTCTCCGTGTATTCATATAGGTTAGCTAGACAGAAAACATGCTGTCACTTTTTATTATCAATATCTTGAATATGCGATATAAAGTTCAGTGATTTACTTCTTAAGGAGAGTAGGCTGCACGGTAACGTATGGCATATGCCTAGCTAACGTGAGTGATTCCTGGACGCTAAACAATAAGCAACGTTGATGGTCACACATCATTCTACCGGATGAAAATACTGAAGCCAGTGAGAAAAATAAATTATTACCTCTGAATCTCTGTGCTTCCTCCTCGGTAACATTAATACCAGACTCTTGCAGCTTCAGAAGAAGTTCCTCCGTGGTGAAGTCCATTTTAGCGGAGTTGTGCCGAGTTTGTGCGCGGACCTGGCGCGGACTGAAGGCAGGAGGCGGTTGGAATTCAAATCTCCGTCTCGCCGCGCGCGCACACAGCACAAACCTTCAACGCATATCTAGATACTAAATATACTTTTATTTTGCATATACATGTCGTTGTTTTCCGCTCTATATTTTGCGTAAATGTTTTTTTAATCGCCGTTAAATTAATTTTATTCAGGTCTTGCGTCATCATCAAGCGCCTTCGATGCCTCGTCGCGGTAGAAATACGTCACGTTTAGCAGCTTGCGAGCTGAAATCATATGCTAACTCTGTTGAGCGATTAAAATGGGGAATAATTATTGTAGGATTTTGCTTTGGAGTTAATACAGAAAGTGATTGCATGTATAAGAGTGAGCTGAGGAGAAAATATATCTATCTATTTTTCTGTGTCAAAATTGCATAAAGGAATAAAAGGGAAATGTTCTCAACCTAGAGTTCAAGAACTTGGACTGTGGGCTGTTTTGTAAAACGTACTGTAAAATCATGTGTGCTCATAATGTGAATCAAAAATAAAATATATTTAAATACATGTATTTTGTAACGCCCAAAATCATCTCTGAGCTCATAACAGAAAAAGGAATGAAAAGGCAGGGTTTTTTGGAGAGTCAGATGTGCATATTTATTTGTTTAGCCCAAAAGCACATTATTGGATGTATCAGAATGTGCATTGAATTGATCACAATTGTATATTCTATATTCTGACCCAGAATGTTTTGACTTCCAATATATCATATTTTGTGTAGCAGTCTAATGAGTGCAAAGTAATTCTAGTAATCTAGCTGTGTGCTTTCAATTCTCTTGAAACATTACCCTAAATAGTTGGGTTAGGGTATTCAAAAATCTTGTCTGTCTGAGCACATTAACACAGGTTCAATATATACAATGGTAGAATAATATGCATTGTACCCCTACGTCAAAGAATGAGGGTACACATTTGGGCCCTTTCATCAGTGGGAACATATTTGTACCATTAAAGGCCAAAAGGGGTACATATCAGTATCTTCTGGCACAAATTTGACCCATCGAGGGTACATGATTTGAAATTGTACCTTAAAGAACATAAATGTACCCTTAGCGTACCCCTATTTCTAACAGTGTACAGCAGCACCACGACATCGACGCACTTTATACATGAAGCATCAGAAGGAGAGGAGCATGCACTGAGCGCAGAGGAATGTGGTTCATCCAGCGACAGGTCAGGGGGATGCGCAACTGTTTGGACTGCAGCTCAGTTTAAGGTGAAGCAGAGTTACTACCCCTGGCTTCTTATGGACAATTCGAGTTTGGGCCGCTACGCAATTTGTAAGGCGGTGGGGACTTTGGGGCCAGAGAAGACGGGGGGGATGAAACTTGAGAGTGGGTGTCAAGTACAGAAGTCCAGATATTAAAAAACAGCAACGTGCACTCAGAAAAAAAGTATTTGAACATGCCCATATACAAGGCTCACCTAGCAGCAGCAAGTATTCTTGAGAAGGCTAAAGACGACACTTTAGGACAGTCTATAATTAATAGTCTGTCTGAACAGATGCGAAAGATAGCTTGCGTCTTTTGCACGGCGTACAAGGAGGCTAAACGCAACCGTCCCGCATATGGCTTCGAACATGAGATTGATTGCCTCATGAGTTAAATAAATCGATATGGGGAGGATTTTGTGTGGAGCATTTTGGACAACTAAATAGGTATGCATACTGTATACAGTGCCTTGCGAAAGTATTCGGCCCCCTTGAACCTTTCAACCTTTTGCCACATTTCAGTCTTCAAACATAAAGATATAAAATTTTAATTTTTTGTCATGAATCAACAACAAGTGGGACACAATCATGAAGTGGAACAAAATTTATTGGATAATTTAAACTTTAAAAAAAAATAAAAAACTGAAAAGTGGGGCGTGCAATATTATTTGGCCCCTTTACTTTCAGGGCAGCAAACTCAGTCCAGAAGTTCAGTGAGGATCTTTGAATGATCCAATGTTGTCCTAAATGACTGATGATGATAAATAGAATGCACCTGTGTGTAATCAAGTCTCCGTATAAATGCACCTGCTCTTTGATAGTCTCAGGGTTCTGTTTAAAGCACAGAGAGAACCATGAAGACAAAGGAACACACCAGGCAGGTCCGAGATACTGTTGTGGAGAAGTTTAAAGCCGGATTTGGATACAAAAAGATTTCCCAAGCTTTAAACATCTCAAGGAGCACTGTGCAAGCAATTATATTGAAATGGAAGGAGTATCAGACCACTGCAAATCTACCAAGACCCGGCCGTCTCTCCAAACTTTCATCTCAAACAAGGAGAAGACTGATCAGAGATGCAGCCAAGAGGCCCATGATCACTCTGGATGAACTGCAGATAACTACAGCTGAGGTGGGAGAGTCTGTCCATAGGACAACAATCAGTCGTGCACTGCACAAATCTGGCCTTTATGGAAGAGTGGCCATTTCTCAAAGATATCCAATAAAAGTATCTTAAAGTTTGCCACAAGCCACCTGGGAGACACACCAAACATGTGGAAGAAGGTGCTCTGGTCAGATGAAACCAAAATCAAACTTTTTGGCCACAATGCAAAACGATATGTTTGGTGTAAAAGCAACACAGCTAATCACCCTGAACACACCATCCCCACCTCAGCTGTAGTTATCTGCAGTTCATCCAGAGTGATCATGGGCCTCTTGGCTGCATCTCTGATCAGTCTTCTCCTTGTTTGAGATGAAAGTTTGGAGGGACGGCCAAGTCTTGGTAGATTTGCAGTGGTCTGATTCTCCTTCCATTTCAATATAATAGCTTGCACAGTGCTCCTTAAGATGTTTAAAGCTTGGGAAATCTTTTTGTATCCAAATCCGGCTTTAAACTTCTCCACAACAGTATCTCGGACCTGCCTGGTGTGTTCCTTTGTCTTCATGGTTCTCTCTGAGCTTTAAACAGAACCCTGAGACTATCAAAGAGCAGGTGCATTTATACGGAGACTTGATTACACACAGGTGCATTCTATTTATCATCATCAGTCATTTAGGACAACATTGGATCATTCAAAGATCCTCACTGAACTTCTGGACTGAGTTTGCTGCACTGAAAGTAAAGGGGCCGAATAATATTACACGCCCCACTTTTCAGTTTTTTATTTGTTAAAAAAGTTTAAATTATCCAACAAATTTCATTCCACTTCACGATTGTGTCCCACTTGTTGTTGATTCATGACAAAAAATAAAATTTGTATATCTTTATGTTTGAAGCCTGAAATATGGCGAAATGTTGAAAGGTTCAAGGGGGCCGAATACTTTCGCAAGGCACTGTATTTATAGGCCGCCGGGCCAACCTTGAAATAATAATTGGAAGATTTGTGTGATTTATTGTAAGCTCTAAAAGCTGACTGTATACTGTAATGGTGCTTTCAGTCCGGATCATGCGTTGCGTCTGCTTTCAATGTAAAGTCTATGGTGACTCGCGTTCGAGCGTCACAACGGATTGTTCAGTAGACACGCACGGACTTGGCGGGAAAGTCAAAGGGGAGGAGCAGGAGCGAAAAATCAACGCCCACAGGAGATGGATTCTGCTCATCCTTTCCTTGGGACGTTCGTGCGACAACCAATCAGAGAGCCGCAAAGGGGTCAAGGGGACATTAGCGGACTGAGCGAGCAGACTGAACATACTCGTAAACAGCCAAAACAGGACCCACACCAGGCTTCACCAGAACTCAAACCAGGGTTGACAATGGGGGACTGTGTGCTTGTGAAAATATGCGTTGTCATGCTCCCGTGACTTCATGCAACTGCTTCGAGTGTGTTCCCGATACGGAAATACCGTTTAATAATATGAAAAAACTTATGGCGCACCTCTGTGAACACATACTACTGTTATATAAAGCCCGTGGAAAGTCTCTGTTCAAAGACACGCTGCAAAGCTGCATATTGGAGAAGATCTGTACACAAGAAGCCGCTAGCATAGCTCTGTTAGGATCAGAGCCGGCCGGCTACTTCCGGCACTTCCGGCTCGCGTCAGGACATCTCGGTGTGAAGACCTCTGCGTCTGAAAACTAGAGAATGCGCGTCTGGTGAGCGGGGCTTTTTTAAAAGTTGTGCAGAGTAACCTATAGCCTAACTATTTGTATAATATGTATTATTAAGTATGGATATTAGCTGTAATTGAGGCCTGTAAGTCCCACAGCAAGGCAAGTGGGCCTTTGAATGTTGTTTTCAACAACCTTTTTGTACGTTCCGGGACCTGAATTGGTTTAGTTTACCTGCGCTGTCATTGTGTACTTTGCATTCCGGCACCTTATGATTTACAAATTAAGCACTGCTCTTAGTGGTCCAATAAAGTCATGACAATTACAATGACACTTTTGTGCCAGAATCTTTCTGTGATCTGACAGTCGTAGCTCCTACACACTGACTCTGAAATGTACCTTCTGGGTGGATTCAGAAACTCTACAAATTCTGTGTATTATGTAGGACTACTTATTTGTGTATCTGCTTACATTTAAACAAATCCTCCTACAGTAGTCACAGGTGAGGTAGGCCTCTGCATGAGTAAATCCTATGTGGAATCCCCAGCTCCAGCAGCTTTTCTTCCAATAATGTCCTGTTTTTCTGCTTCCACCTTCGCATCCGCTCTGTGACTCTTCCCTGTCCCTGCTGAAGTTTGATATAGTGCCTGTGTTTACTCCCATCCTTCTCCGTTTGATATTTTATTTTGGTGTAGTAGTGTGCTCAGTTTGCAGTTGTTAAAAACAGTTAATTTATTGAAAACAGTGACTGACAGATTAAGAGCACTGTCCTGTACTTTTAGTGTAATTCTAATTAGTAGGGAAAAGAAAAATATAAATGTATTCAATTCATTTTCAGAATATTAACGTAGCAATATGTAAGATTTCTATGTCAAGTCCTCATTAAATGGTCGTAATCTGTCAAAAGACATTAATAAAACATGCTCTTTTTGAACATTTAACTTGATAACAGTA